TATATATATATTTATATATATATATATATATATATATATATATATATATATATATATATATATATATATATATATATATATATATATATATATATATATATATATATATATATATATATATATATATATATATATATATATATATATATATATATATATATATATATATATATATATATATATATATATATATATATATATATATATATATATATATATATATATATATATATATATATATATATATATATATAAACATACAGTGCTCAGAATAATTGAGTACAGCCCATTTTGAAAATTTACATTTGTATCTATTGCAGTGAATATCAATTTCAATGTATTTTGGTGCATTCACAAACAGATTTATTTACCAGATATATTTATTCAAACAATATTTTAGTCACCAAACATATTAAGAAATTGAAAAATAATACAATTAAATTTAAGCAAAATTTTGCAAAAAAAATTACAACCCTCAAAATTTCAGCTAAAATGTAGTTCAAATTTTGTAGGTTGTAATTTATTTTGCAAAATGTTATTCTTTTTTTTGCTTCTCTTAATTTTCCTCTTTTTTAAAAATTTGTATTTAATATTTTTTATAACATAAATTTGGCTCTACTAGTTTTTGGAACATTATCGTAAGTTTTTTTGTTAGATAAGCTCCAGATTTAGCTTCAGTACTGACTAATCTGTTGTATATGCACAAATATAATATTTTATGCCTTCCTATTAAAAATATGAATTTTCAAGAGGGGCACAGAATTTTGTGAGGGGCGTGCTTATACATGTTGAACATTGTATGTAGAATATAAAGAATCTGATATCACGATATTTTATTTTTCACAAGATAGTTTGAATAGCACTATTTGAAAGTTTTCTGGGGAGTCTGACAGCATTCAGTGACAGGAATTAAATAATCACAATGCAACATTATATATATACCATATCATGGTATATCTATCATACTTTGTCTGGTTTCTTTTCCAAATGTATAATATATATATATATATATATATATATATATATATATATATATATATCTTGCAGATCAAGTAAAAATATTGTTTTGTTTTCGCCTTCTGATGAAATAAGTCAAAATTAGGAGTTTTTCCCTAAAACAAGTTAAATCATTTGCCAAAGGGATAATTAAAGTAATCTTATTTTCACTTTGAAATGTATGTATGTAGACTAGAAACAAGACAAAAATTCTATGAAAGAAAAACATTTATTTTTTTCCATCAATTGTATAAATAGTTAAATATAATTACTTTTTGCTACAACTCCAAACGTCCTACTTTTTTGTGCCCAAAGGCTCTTGAAAAGCTCAATCA